TTTTTTATCAATAAAAAAGAAACGGTGTATAGTATATAGAAAACCTGCTTTATTAATATAAATTGTAATTAACGTGTGGCTGCGGCGTAAAGTGAGCTACCCCTTCCTTTCCCATGGGTGTTGTAAGAGGCGACTAAGGTATCTCAATGGTCGAGTGATAGGCAGCAATGCCCCTAAAATATCACCAAAGCCTTACTGCGGTTGCCAATCTGCCTGCCAAGCGTGGCAACTATTGGCAAAACCCCAAGGGAGAGTCCTATGTACAACAGTGGGCAGTTCACAGCTGATATTATATGAATGACATTTTCTTTATTTTTTATTTAGTATATAAGATTTTTATGTGTTAATTTTGTCAATTGTTAATCAATATATGTCATTACCAACTTTGTCGTATCAATATTAAGAACAAGAAATAACATATCAATATATCCCGTACCAAATTCTGCACGTCCAGGAACTTTAGTCCTGGGGACCTCTAGTCCGAACTTTTTCATTTTATTTATGCATATCCATACTTTATGTATGTTTATTTAACTCTTATTAAAATTTCACTTGCAAGATTAGGTATAACGTAAGACGTGAACTGAGTAAGCTTGTAAATTACATCAACTTCTCAAAATGGGGACCACATTCAGCTTTATCGCCCCGGACCTGTGAAGAATTTAGTTCACCACAGAATTGTTAGCATCGACATTAACAATTTACGAGCACCTATGTGCTATTTACGTCTATCGTTCAGAACTTGAATTTGAATAAACCATTTTTTTTTTATTAATTTAGTTTCTTTTCAAAATACAATTAACACCTCAATTCGGTTTTAAGCTAAAGCTAAATTGCCATTGTTTGTGTGAAGTTCGTGTGACTCAGTGTGAACATTTTTTTAAATTGTTTGTATCTATTTATATGACACACTCATTTTAGATGAAACTGTTATAATATGCATTTTTTTTTATTATATTTTCTTATATTTATATGTTTTTGTGTAGTTTCTTTGTTAAAATTTTTAATATTTTTTTAATTCCTGACCTGGGTGTGTTGTAATTTTTTCTTTTTTTCTTTTTCCCTTAAAATAAATCTACTACAGTAATCTTTTAGAGAGGGGGGAAGGGATTGTAAGTAATGGAGACTGAGAATCCCATTGCTAGCAATATACAGTACAGGCTAAACATGTCGAACGTATATTATATTGTCAACATCTGCATGTATTTATACGCGTGTTTTACAAATAAATAAATCTTGAATCTTGAATACCCAACCAGGTCGACCTCCTCGCGATTCTCGCTGGAAACTATCATGGTTAATACCTGATGAATTCATCATGATGGGCTAACTGGCCTATTTTCATTCTCATCTATCACCCTTCACTGGTGCTCCGCCAGCGTATCCCGTTAGCGCAGGCAGGGTTGCCATACCATTTTCATCCATCAAAAAAAAATCTTTTAGAGGAAACAAAAAAGAGTATCTATCTATCTAGAATTAAAAGCGAGCTTAACTATAATTGAGAGAGTATTATTTCATTAATAAGCTTCTCTCATTTACTCATCTCACTTCCTCTCGAGTACACTAGGCAAATCACGGAAAATTCTATTAGGTTATAAAGTAAATATACGACATATATAAATCGTATGTTGGCATTATATAGTAACATAAAACTGTGCATATAACTTGCGCGCTCTCTCAGGCGGGCAGTAAAAAGCGAAACCTCAAATTTTATAGCTCAAGTCGAGAGTGTCAACTGCTAAACTTCCATATATAAACATATATATGATTTAGATTGTGTTCCATGAAATTATTACACTATTACACGCTGAACAGCAGCAGTTCCCCTCTTAATACATCTCTAAAAGCCTATCTACGGTTGCCAATCCGACCGTCAATCATAGCAACATTTTTTTTATACAACTTATAATGGCAAACAAGCTGACGGCCCACCTGATGGAAACTGGTAACCGTCGCCTATAGACATGAGCAGTACCATGCACATAACAGAGTATACTGTTTCGCCCATGAATGGCAACGCATGGGGGGTATCCCCATGCGTTGCCATTCCTGAGGACTCAGGTGTTATTCCTCTGTACCCACTGGACAGCTTAAGGCTTTTATGATGGCGATGATGATAATGATAAAATTGCGTAATTTCATTGCCATATCCCACCCTACAAACCGTAACACAAGTTACAGTTTGTAGGGTGGTGGTGGTGTTGTCCATACAAACACAACTGCGTCACGGTAGAAACCCGAATGGGACAGAGATGGCCAAACAAACGACTTTTTTACAAAGTCGCCCTTTGATATGGCAACACTGCCATTTATATACATATATGTAGGTCCAAGGAGCCAGAAATAAAATCCCTTTTTTTACACAAGCGATTCAACTTTTATATAATTGCAAATCTAAAAGTTAGAAAAATTCGTTGGAGCACACACACACTCGTTCATTTGTCGTCCATCTTCATCTTTCACTCCCAACCGTTCCTCACTTCACTCCACATCAGTCATCCTTCCTCGTATTCCAATCTATGCATACAACACTTTTAACATACGTTCCATTTCATACCAATCCCACATATATAGAAAGATATATAATAGATAATCCCCATTAATTGATAAAATAATATTGACCAAGGATAATTTACAACTCTAATCCCATGTTCCGGGCATAACCTGTTGATGTGCGAACTTCCCTTAACAACTAAACAACAATAGGGCAAACATATCCGGGATATATTGCACAAAGTTACTCTACCCGGAGAGTTGTAACTTGTTTGAGACGCAAACTGATTGTGTTACAGTTATGTATTATAAATGCCTACTAAATTGTTGTATTAGAATCGCGGGGTTGAATAAATATTTAGCTGACTTTGAAAAGAAAGTTTTCAATTTTGGCGAAATAGGAACCTGTTTATATGTCACTGGCCACCCGTCCCGGCTTCGCACGAGTGTAATATTTGTTTGTTAGTTGGCAACATTAGTTAGACTTTGGTGATGTTTTTTTTTACGGGATGATAAAGGAATGGTAACCCCGTCTGCGTTTTACTCATTAGACTCCCTTTACTTAGTACCCCGCCAGTGTATATCAATAGCGAGAATAGGGTCACCGTTCCATTTTCATTCCAAAAAACCATCACTACTGTAACTAGTTTTCAATAACAAGCATAGAACCAACACTTGATCAAATATTCAGACGCGACTGTTTCAATAAACAATAAAAGTTACATCACTAACGATACGGACTTAGTACTGTCATAATCCAAAATATTGTGCTACAAAAAAACTACCGGATAGTGAAAATGTAACATTAAAATACTACCAGAAGATAGCGAGGAACCGATATAAATAGTAACCTATTCGTACGTATCATTACATAGTATAAAACAAAGTCGCTGTCGCTGTCTGTCCGTCCCTATGTATGCTTAAATCTTTAAAACTACGCAACGGATTTTGAAACAGTTTTTTTTTTTTTAATAGATAGAGTGATTCAATAGAAAGGTTTATATGTATAATACATGCATAATATATTAGAGGAACACTGATAATTTTAAAGGTTTCAAATGTGATGTAATGTAATGTGCGAAGCCGGGGTGGGTCGCTAGTTTATAATAAAAAAAAGTAACTATTGAGTTTCTTGCGGACTTTTCTCATTAAATAAAGTAAGAATAACATAAATAGATCACGTCAAAATCAATTTCGAAAATTACTTTCTTTTAATTACAAAGTTACCGTGAAAAATGCTTCATGTACAAATTATATCATGATATTTCATCAATTGCTTAATAGAACCGAATTATTCCTTCTTTTTATTTCTAAGCCCAAGCTTCTAGTAAACAGTTCGACTAAATAACCGACAGCCATGATGGATTGGTTGGTAACAGTACAATATTATTTTTGAATTAACTAATAAACACGAGATCAACGGGGAAGTTAATATAATCCGTTTTCCTTAAATGTAACGAATGACTATTTATGGAAATATATTTGTTAATTTACTTGCTTAATGAGATCGATTCGTTTCAACTGTAAACTTCGTTAGAGTAAAACATTTATTTGTTAAATATAATAAAAAAAAAAAACTAAGCTTTAAATATTTTAATATCGTATCTTGTAATGACCGCTACAATCATCAACTTCATCATCTCAGCCATTATCCGTCCACTGTTGAACATAGGTCTCCACCATAGACGGCCATAAGGGCCTGAGCCACCTGAGCCACCTACATCCACTGCTACAATGCATTTGCAAAACTCCCTAATAGAGGGAGACCTATGTTCATCAATGGACAATTAACCCTTCTTTGCATGATTTTTTTTATTGGTGAAATAAATAAAGGTGATATATAATTCATATTCAAAATTAAAGGAAAAATGGTTAAAAAAATAAATTTGACAGCTATGTTTTTTTTTCTGCAATGGACATTAAAAAGGTATCGAGACACGATCAACTTAAAGTGAACTTGTTCTTTTATATAATTTTTGGGCATTCAATGTTATGATGGAAATTTCCACCATTATACAAAGAAAGACCATTAGACAAATATTATAATTTCCACCATTAGACAAATAACCCTTCTTTGCATGATTTTTTTATTGGTGAAATAAATAAAGGTGATATAATTCATATTCAAAATTAAAGGAAAAATGGTTAAAAAAATAAATTTATTTTTCTGCAATGGACATTAAAAAGGTATCGAGACACGATCAACTTAAAGTGAACTTGTTCTTTTGTATAATTTTTGGGCATTCAATGTTATGATGGAAATTTCCACCATTATATAAAGAAAGGTTAACAGATGATATGATAATGATGATTTATTTGTTTAAGAAGTCATCAAAATGAGTAATAAATATTATTATTATAATTATCCAAGATAAAATCATTAAAAAAATAACATTATTTTGACAATAAACTTTCCATCAGGTGGGCCGTCTATTAGCCATTTTAAATTGCATAAAAAATTCTACAACTAAACCGCTCCATCGCCGTCTTGTTCTACAAAGTGTGCTAACTCCGCAGTTTACGTGGTCGACCAACGACTCCATCATGTAGCTATAGCTACCTACGTAGTCAGTAATATCTAAACAACCGCGACCGTGAACTATGTAACAAAATGCGGAGTCAAACTATTCTATTTGTTGGTATCGTTTCATTATGTAGTGCTAAGGAGTACTATGATAAACTTGGTGAGTGATACATTCATAACTAATAAATAAAACATATCATACATTTAATGGTTTTTTTTTAAATGAGTCGCTAATATGTATTATTACATTTAATACATAATATAATCTATACTTATAACAAATCTGTGAGGTAAATTCTGTACATGAAATATATTTCCAAAATAACTATCAGGCGGTGATTAGTGATCGATACTGATGCCAAAAATGCAATCAGTAAAATTTTTGTCTGTCTCTCTGTATGTTCGTTATAGAAACAAAAACTACTCGACGGATTTTAACGAAACTTGGTACAATTATTCTTCATACTCCTGGGCAGGTTATAGTATACTTTTCATCACGCTACGATCAATAGGAGCAGAGCAGTGAAGGGAGATGTTGGGAAAACGGGAGAAGTTACTCCATTTTTAAGCTTCCGTCGCGTGTGCAGCCTTATTGGCCACTTTTTAAAATGTTAAAATGTCCACTCGTGCGAAGCCGGGACGGGCCGGTAGTATTATAAATAAAAATAAATAATCCTATGTGATTTTAACAGTTATCAAAAATGTATGGGTGTCACGTGTCTTATGTGCCTACTTATTATAATATCTAATTTGTATCACGTGGCATGCGAATAAATATAAATAAATAAATATGATTTCATTTATTTATTTATATATATATTCTTTATTGCACTTAAACAATACATGCGACGATTAGTTTAACAACTTGTTAGCAAGTGAGGACTTATCTCTGAAAGAGATCTCTTCCAGCCAACCCAGTAGTTGGAAAGAACATAATTTAATTTGGGTAAATCCAGTGCAGAATTATAAAGAGGAAATATTTGAATTTTTATTGACTTATTTAATCAACTGGCTTAGCAATTAGCAATGCAATTTCAATCGACTTCAAAAAAGGTGGAATTTCAATCCTGGTGTGTTTTTTTTACGTTCGTTATCTCATAAGTAACGCAGCATAAACAAACTGATTTCGAAAAAAATCTTTTTTATCTGAAAATATATTTTTTCAAATTAGTCTCATCAAAGTTAAGAAGTTTCATCAAAAACGGTTCGTTTATAAATGAAAACAAATGGTTTTACTACGTTTCCTTTATGTGGAACAAAATCTTAGTAATTTATATATGAAATATGGAATGGTAAATAAACTTTTACAATTCACTAGCGACACGACCCGGTTTTTAACAGAGGGAGACTTTATACAAAAGTCGATTGCTTGGGTACCTCTGTCCCATTCGTGTTTCAACCGTGAAGCAGTTGTTATAAATAAAACAAATACCCCTGAATAAAACAAGTCGGTTGGCCCATCGTGATAAATTCATATAGAATTAATCAAGATTAAGACCTGATCTACCCTATATTGCTAGCAATGAGGCTGTTAAATCCCCAATACTAACAATCCCTTTGTCCACTGTAATATTGACTTAAGTACAGTTGCATAGATGTAATTCAGCATATATATATATTATACAACTTAGAATGACAAACAAGCTGACGTTCCACCTGATGGAAAGTGATAACCGTCGCCTATAGACATGAGCAGTACCATGGACATAACAGAGTATACTGTTTCCCCATGCGTTGCCATTCCTGAGGACTCGGGTGTTATTCCTCTGTACCCAGTAAATTCACGCCATACAACTAACAATCCCTTTCCCCCCGAACGTGCTGTGTTAGAATGTATGGACCAAATTATTGAATTAATTAATTATAAATGTTTGTAAAAAATGTTTTGAGATTATATATATATATATATATATATATATATATATATATATATATATATATATATATATATATATATATATATATATATATATATCAAAACAAAAGGATGCGAACATTTGCATATTTTTATTCAAAATTCTCGAACCATATTGTTACCTAAGTTACGTTTTCTAAATTCAACATAAAGTGTTTAATGCGTATTTAAAATTCGTTCATCAAATACTGTTTGCCCGCTACTTCGTACACGTGGATTTCAGAAGTAGCATAACCAATGATATAAACCACTACTAGATGGCGCATCAAGGTAAAATATAAACCAGTTTTTAAATTATACTTTTACCAGAGGGAGACTTTGTGCAAAAGTCGTTTGCTTGGGCACCTCTGTCCTATTCGTGTTTCTACCGTGAAGCAGTTATGTTTGCATGACTGTGTTTCGGTTTGAAGGGTGGGATATGGCGTGAATTTACTGGGTACAGAGGAATAACATCTGAGTCCTCAGGAATGGCAACGTATGGGGAGTATTTTATTTATTTTTATTAATAAGTGGTTAACAAGAAACTAAAAAACTGTAGAAACATAGAAAGTATAGAGAAAGATATAGCAGGATATTCGAATTTGTAAATATTAGATGTGCCCACTCCAAAAGTAAATACTTAAGTTTGTAACTTATAAACGTCATTTATTCAACGACAAATCATAAACAATAATAAAAAAATATAAAGTTATTAGTCGTGCACGCCAATAAACTTATACAACTATTTCTTTGCCTAAAAATAAAAAAAAAAAAACACATGAGTTCGCGCCAATTTTTACGTCACTCCATTTCTTTATAAAAAGAAATAAGCACGCGTAGGAACCGTACCGTATCGCATAAAATATTGATAATCCAAATATTATGTAAGACAATAAGCAAATAAACGCCCGTTTCGATGAAATGAATCCTATCTTTCCACCAGTGGGGTACGTACGAGTACACAGCAATTCGCGCGCGAGTCCGCACTTATCAAAAATTCCTCAGCAATAAATATTTATGAGAGTGAACCGACCGGAGCTCGGTTCATATTTTAACTGCCATTGTACTTACCTTTGTTAACAGATACTCGTTTTGTATTTTGAACTGAGCTAGCTTAACTCTTTTTGGATCGCATTTCGTTTGTCTTGTTAAAATTATCGAGTTAAAACCTCATACATACTTGTATAAAATACATAATTATGTTGGTTTTTTGTATGAAAAGTAAAAATAAAGATTGACTTATGTATGGTATATATTACTGACTATCGGGTTAGTATGCCTTCTCTGACAGTTTGCCTTTTTCACATTATGTACAAGCTGATTTTCGCAGCTTTGCCTTCAAATCAAAAATTTTCATCGATTCTCGACCCATTTTTTCTGTGACAAAAATTTATAGTATCTATGATAAAAAAAAAATCTCCTTTCCAATACCATAGACAACGACAAAACCCTGCATTTCTATGCAGTTTTTGTTCTATACACCTGGGTGTTTATAATGTAAATAAAACTCTATTTTCCACGCTTAGCCTCTCATTTGGGCCGTTGTGCGTATGAGTCGTGGCTAGTACAGCCAACCTAGCTCCGCCCAGAAGCGCAGAAGCTTCCTGGGTTCTTCACAGGCCTCACGAAGCGACCTCACCGTTCCGAGGATTTCTAAACGTTGAAGCCACAGCTTCACATTCCAAGACTACGTGAGCAGCCGTTTCTTCGGCGTCGAAACAGCCTCGACATAGAGGGCTGTCTGTGGCTCCTATTGTGTATAAATGTTTGTTTAATGGACAATGGGCCGTTATTGTCCCTAACATTATATCAGGGTGTTTTATAAATGTTTAACGGGTTAAAAGAGCGCAAATGATTTTGAATTTATTTTCTTAATTTTTTTTTCACAGACCGTTACCTTATCGCCTGCCATACGACAGACTTTGTATGCTTCAAGCGACAGTACAAAGCTCTGAGAGACAACGTGCTATTAGGCAATAATATATTGAACATAGATTATTACGATCCTTACTATTTTAAATATGGAAATAGCGGCACGTGTATCAAACTATCCGGGCTTGAGGAGAGCGAACTTGTTGGTATAAGGTGAGTACAAACCAATAAAAAATATTTATTTAGATAAGGACGGCATATGGCAGTGAATTACAGAGTACGGAGCCGTAACACTAACATTATTATCATCATATCAGACTTTGTACAAAAGTCGATTGCTTGCTTGAAACACAGCCATGCAAACACAACTGCTTCACGGTTGAAACACGAATGGGACAGTGGTACCCAAGCAAACGACTTTTACAAAGTCTCCATAGTCTTTAAAAAAGACCAACGCTGGATGTGGTACTATGAGTTTTACAAGGTATCCTGTGCAGTTCGTGCCTACGGTTACCACTTACCATCAGGCGCGCCGTGAGCTTATTTGCTGTTCTAAGCTTTATAAAAAAAAAAAAAAACAAATTCACACCTCCACTCGAACACAAGGAAAATTATCTTAAATATATATAGATAGAACATCGAGCCTCGAAAACGGGTCAACTATTTGTCAGCTAATTGTCAAATTAGCTGACTCGTTTTCTTTTATCAGTGTTCTATATACTTACGCATACAATGTATCTTAATGTATTATTTAATAAATAAAATGAGTAATAAAGCATTAAAAAGAAAAGTAAATTGAACATTGCAAATGAGTGTATTTATGTTTTAGATTGTACCGTCTTATGTTAAGTCAAAGGATGTTTTTAACTAACCACTGAGATACAGGCTCAGCCTAGTTCGGTGGCTAGTAGATGTAACTAGGTGTGAATTGTTATTAAATAAAGAATTATAAAAGAATAAAAAAAAAAAAAGATGCAGAAATGATAAGATAAAATAAATATAGAAGTTATAAAGGAATCACTCATAACTATTTATCACGCAAAATTGTATGAAAAAGTTGACCCATTTTCCTCGAAGCATTTCAATGGAGATTAAGACAATAGCATAGTCTAGGAGTGAGAACTTTTCCGTGCATGCTTTGGCACGGAACAGCGAAAAAGAATGAAAGAACAAAGTTATGATTTTAAAATTTCAGCATGGACGGTGCGGTGGGGCTATTTGGTTTAACATTGGAGCTGCCTCTGAGGGTCCAACAGGTGTACAACGACACGAAACTATGCGCCGAACCCGAGCGGGGTGAGTGGATGCAACAGGTGCAATATCGTTGGTACACTTGTACAATTTGAAATTCATCAATTAGGATCGAATTTTTTTTTTTTTTATACAACTTAGAATGGCAGACAAGCTGACGGTCCACCTGATGGAAAATGGTAACCGTCGCCTATAGACATGAGCAGTACCTTGGACATAACAGAGTATACTGTTTCGCCCATGATACCCCCCCATGCATTTACATTGCATTATCATTCGTAATGATGCTTATATTAACTATATTATTTAGATTTTTCATATACCAAATCGTTAATCTATGATATTTGGGGGGAAAGGGATTGTTAGCAATGGGGTTTGACAGCCCCATTGCTAGCAATATGCCTTATTAGGTCGACCTCCACGTGGTTTCCCCTGGAAACCATCGTGAACAATTCTTGTTGAATTCGTCACGATGGGTTAACTGACCTACTTCATCCTCACCTATCATCCTTCACTGGTGCCCCGCCGGTGTATACCGATAGCGCGGGTGAGGCTACCATTCCATTATCATCTATTAAAAAAAAATCTATGATATTTAAGCTCTAATTAAAACTTAAGGAAAGAAAATTACCTAAGTATCTACATATTAATAATTGTATCATAAAGAAATATGTCAAATAACATATCTTCAATTAATGCATAAATCCTTAATTGCAAATTATGCAAGTATTCTTTATCATTAATTTTTACATACAAATAAAAATACACCTTTTTTTTATAAATTTCAGAATTCACATCGGTGCAGACACATAATGGTAAGACTTTTTTGAGTCTTATAAGTTAATTAAAAAAAAAACACACACACACACGTGTACGTACATATATGTTTATTTGTATCATTTGTTAAAATATTTTTTTTATTCAACCTAGAATGACAAACAAGCTGATGGCCTACCTGATAGAAAGTGGTAACCATCGCCTATAGACATGAACAGTACAATGGACATAACAAAGTGTTCCCGTGTCACCCATGATACCATACATGCGTTGCCATTCCTGAGGACTATGGTGTTATGCCTTATATATTGTTAACTAGCGGTCCGCCCGGTTTCGCACGGGTGGACATTTTTACAACATTTTAAAAAGTGGTTATTGTGACATAACGATAATAGTTGGACATATAGTATCGCGAAGTTTTTTGTAATTATTGATATTTCCTTCAATATCGTAGAACATACTTTTGTTCTATCACCAATAGTTTCCGCAGCGCACGCGACCAAAGATATTTTATAGAATTGTTTTACACCTTCACTTACGTTACTAAAGTTTTAGCAAGGACTCCTAATCTTTTCTAGCGATAAATATAGCCTATGTTACTCAGGGTGAATGCAGCTTTTTAATGGTGAAAGAATTTTTGAAATCGGCAAAGTAGTTTTTAAGTTTATTCATAACAAACATACACACAAATCTTTCCTCTTTATAATATGAGTGTAGATCTGCATAAAAGCAATGCGACTGAATTTACTTTCTGATACTTTCAATATTTTCAGGGTCACTAAAGAAGTTCAAGGGCAATGGTAAGTTTATAATACAGTATAGTATACATAGTGGAAGAAGCGAAAGAGGCGTGAATTTACTGGGTACAGAGGAATAACACCTGAGTCCTCAGGAATGGCAACGCATGGGGGGTATCATGGGTGAAACAGTATACTCTGTTATGTCTATGGTACTGTTCATGTCTATAGGCGACGGTTACCACTTTCCATCAGGTGGGCCGTCAGCTTGTTTGCCATTCTAAGTTGTTCAAAAGTTGTATAAATAAAAAGGTTTGTCTGAATCGAAGCATTTGGCGTTCCATTGTTTCTGCCTACCCTAATGGGAGACAGGCGTGACAGATATGTATGTATGTATGTCTGTATAGTATACAGCAATTAATTTCATAATTTTCTGTTACTCTACAAGTATTTATCTATTAGAATAAAATAGAAAATATTTATTACCAGAAAAACACATATTTCATTTAACAGAATTAATATAATATTATATATAAAAAGTGTCTCATATTAGGCAAAAGGAACTGGCTCAGCTGATAATGTGAGCGTTTTTTTTTTATACAACTTAGAATGGCAAACAAGCTGACGGCCCACCTGATGGAAAGTGGTAACCGGCGCCTATAGACATGAGCAGTACCATGCACATAACAGAATATACTGTTTCGCCCATGATACTCCCCATGCGTTGCCATTCCTGAGGACTCACGTGTTATTCCTCTACACCCTGTAAATTCACGCCATATCCCACCCTTCAAACCGAAACACAGTTATGCAAACACAACTGCTTCACGGTTGAAACACGAATGGGACAGAGGTGTCCAAGCAAACGACTTTTGTACAAAGTCTCCCTCTGGTAAAAGTCCCAGTGCGATGTGTACAGCTACACAGCGCTGGTTTACAACCAGTCCCTCTCTCGACAAAATACAACAAAAATACAAACGGGTACAACTGCAATTGCATGTTCCAAGAGTGTGCTTTTTTTTATACAACTTAGTATGGCAAACAAGCTGACGGCCCACCTGATGGAAAGTCTACTTACTATGAAGTAAATTATGAACTCCGAATGGAGATATAGTAAGAAATAAAATAGTTAACTACTCAATTTTAACTCAAAAATGTTTTAACCAGACGTGACTGGAAAATTAAAGCACGATATATAAACATAAGAGAACTTATCTACTATCGGCGTCTTACTGTCCGGCTCGACCCACTGAAACTGCGTAGAGATGTTGCATCTCTGTGCATCTTCTACCGAATTTATCATGGGGAGTGCTCTGAAGAATTGTTCGGATTGATACCTGCTGCAAATTTTCACCATCGTACAACCCGCCATAAACTAAAATTTCATCCCAACCATCTGGACGAGTGGCGGTCCTCCACCGTGCGTTTTTCAAGGCACTTTCTTCCTCGCACAACCACTCTTTGGAATCAACTTCCAGCAGCAGTATTTCCGAACCGATACGACAACATAACCTTCAAGAAAAGAGCATATTCCTTTTTAAAAGGCCGGCAGCACACCTGCAATGCCGTAGGTGTTGTGGGTGACCATGGGCGGCGGTAGTAACTTACCATCAGGTGAGCCGCATGCTCGTTTGCCCCCTGTGTTGTAAAAAAAAAAAAAAAACTTGAAATAAAATCTATAGCAAACTACCTGAGCAACGTGTGTGACTTGTTTTTAATGGGTGAAAATTGAATGGCAACCCGCCTGCGCTAATGGGCTAATGCGCTGGCGGGGAACAAGTCAGATGATAGGTGAGAATGAAAAGACAGGTCAGTTAGCCCATCGTGATGAATACACCTGGAATTCAGCACGAAAACATGTTCTATTCAGAAACCACGTGGATTAATTATCTACCTTTTTTTCTTTCCAGCAACTATACAAGCGATATATCCTTACGAGATCCGAAAGAAGAAAGGAGTCATCCATATGGTACTTGAAGAAGAAGACTTAGAAGTAATTCTAGACATACCACACTTGATCGACTACGACATGAATAATACTGAACAATGTATGTACAAAAGTTGATTGCTTGGGTACCTCTGTCCCATTCGTGTCTCAATCGTGAAGCAGCTGTGTTTGCATGGCTGTGTTTCGGTTTGAAGGGTGGGATATGGCGTGAATTTACTGGGTACAGAGGAATAACACCCAAGTCCTCAGGAATGGCAACGCATGAGGTGTATGAAATATCACTTTCGAAGTGATAGTGCAATTATAAATGAAGCTGTTAAACTCCTTTATTGGGGGAAAAGGCAACTTAATTGCTAGAAATATACCCTATCAGGTCGACCTCCACGTAGTCCTCCCTGAAAACCATAGTAATTAATTCTTGAGTTCGTTAAGATAGGCTAACTGACCTGTCTTCATCCTCACCTATCATCCCTCACTGGTGCCCCGCCAGTTTATACCGATAACGCAGATGGGGTTAGTGATAACCCCACCATTTTCACCCATAAAAAAGAAATCTACTATCAATAAACTCTTTCCCCTCTCTCTTTTCACTCTCTCTCTCTCTTTCATCTCTAAAGACTATCATACCTACTTGTACAACAATTAGTCCATTACCTTAAGGCTGCCTTGAAAAGATTGCTCTCAGCAACAAGACCGCCTTACTGTACATATACAATTGTATCGTTGCGTTTGTAAATTGTCTTGCTTATTTCCTATATTGTATAATGCAAATAAAGTATACTCATTCATTCAAAAGGGGTTATTCATTACTGCTTCTATATTAATATTGTTACATTAAAGTCTGGCATTTACTGTACAAAATCCACTTGTTCCTTTTGTTAGGTTTCAGATATTATCCAGTCCATTAGACAAGACTGGACCGTCCGCCTGTCCTCGACAATCTGTCCGTGTCACAGCATCATAATTTATTCAGCTTGAATTCCATTTTGGTGAAACATTTTCAAAAAACTCTAACTCCACACATACAAAGGGGCATCTTTGTGTGTGTAACATCATTAAAAGACTCATGGAGATTTAAAAAAAATTTCCACAAAAAAACAAACTTCAATCCCATGATTGATTGTACTGATTTAGTCATCTAAATCAGTTATTTTGATTTAAAAACTAAACTACTGAAACAACTTTAATAAAATTTCTATAGGACTAATCTGTAAGTATATCCTTTCAGATAAAAAAAGAATCTTCCAAATCGGTTCATAACTGATGGAATTATGAGGTAAAAAACCTAAAAAATTACAATCAAATTGAACACCTCTTCTTTGAAGTCGGTTGAAAATAGGCAAGTCGTCTCTATTTTTATATAACTACCCACAAAAATGAATGTAGTTATCAGGATTCTTGTAGGTATGTGTGTGAGTTTCATTCGTGTGTGTTTCTTTACTCCACCATAACTTCTAAATGCCTTAACATATTTGGATGTACGGGGTATCTTTAGAATCCTTACAACATCCCGAGTGGCAATCTTTATATTTTTTCTTAAATAATAATAATAAACTCTTTATTGCGCACAGTAGAGATGTATACAAGGAGTATTTATACAGAACGTGCATATACAAAGGGCGGCCTTATCGCTACAAGCAATCTCTTACAGACAACCTTAAATAGTTTGATTTTTGTGCAAAACAATCGTGTTTTTTGCCACGCTTGGGATACCAATATTGGCGTACTTAGATGGTGACTGAGGTGGCTATCATAGGCGAAACAGTATACTCTGTTATGTCCATTGTACTATTCATGTCTATAGGCGACGGTTACCACTTTCCATTAGGTGCGCCGTCAGCTTGTTTGCCATTTTAATCATCCTCACCTATCATCCCTCACTGGTGCCCCGCCAGTGTATACTGACAGCGCACGCGGGGTATCATTCCATTATCACCCATTAAAAAATAGGATAATGATATATAATTGATGATTATATATCTGTAACACTCTAAAGCAATGTTTTCCAACCTTTTTCGTGTCATACATAATTTTTTCCGACAATGTTTACTTGACGACTCTTATTGCCCAGTTGATGTTTTGGTAACGTCGAATGAAATTATATCTAAGAAATATTTACAGCATTTTTTTCAATTTACTTTTTTTGCTAAATTTGGCACCGATATCTACTCGTAGCACTGCATTTAAATGGCCCGGAGCAAGAGGATTTAAATCGCTTCGAGTACATTTTTTTATTGCCTCCCCCTTAACTATCAAATTGCCCCCCTGTGCGGCGTGGGCCCTACGTTGGGAAACACCGCCTTAAAGGGTTCATGTAGAAGACAATTAATTAATATATTTTACAACATTATAACCTATATATATATTTAATTTGTTATTACTTATAATTTATGTTTATGTAAGTGTTATGGTTTTATTGAAATAAATTTTTATTCATTCATTCATTCAACCTCAGGACGCAATAATAAACAGACAACGACTAAGCCGGTATAAAATAAAAATAAAATAAAAAATTCGATATTTCAGTGGCTGTATACAATCTATCAGAATGGGCATACGACATATTACAACATATAGATGCCGCCAAATCCTTTGCCCTGCCCTACACGAGTCAGTACAGGACGCTAGCAGAACGTGTGTCGATTGAAAGGTTTGTAAAATAAATTTTATTTTATTCATAACAATATCTTTTTATATATTTATTACATAAAAAGAATTATTATTATTAATAATTTGTAATTTAACAGTAAGTCTGGCCCGATTGACTCGCTTGTATTTTCCACTCGATCGAGGATGCTCGGCTAGATTAGTATAGAGCGTTCCCCACTTAAAGCACGTAGTTTATAAATATCATGAAAAATATTGACAATAATGTGAACAGTCCTTAAATAATTTCTACAGTAAAGAAAGGTACAGGGGCATAACACCTTAGTCTATAGGAATGGCAACGCATGAAGAATATCATGGACGACACAGTATACTCTGTGGTATTCATAGTACTGTTTATGTGTAGAGGCAACGGTTACCACTTTAGATACACATCAGATAGCAACGATTTTATTTTATACTATTAGAGATTATAATATTTAATTTTTTCGACTTTTGTATAAAGTCTCCCTCTAGTATCTCTCCCTGTTTATGTATTTTACCCCCTGTTGATCCTGTATTAATTTTCAATCAACTTCAAAAAGGAGACACTCGATTTTGGTTGTATTTTTTACGTTTGTTACCTCATACTTACGTCAGTGGTAAATCGATTTTGAAAATTCTTGTTTTTATTTGAAAGGCTAAACTTACTGATGGGTCCCACAGAAATGTTATCAAAAAAGATTCATTAGTTTAATTTTTAATCAAAATATCAGTTATGCTACAACTGACTTTGTACAAAAACCCTTTTGTACAAAGTCTCCCTTTTACCGGAGGGAAACTTTGTACAAAAGTCGATTGCTTGGGTACCTCTGCCCCATTCGTGTTTCAACCGTAAAGCAGTTGTGTTTGCATTGCTGTGTTTCGGTTTGAAGGGTGGGATATGGCGTGAATTTACAGGGTACAGAGGAATAACACCTGAATCCTCAGGAATGGCTACGCATGGGGGGTATCATGGACGAAACAGTATACTCTGTTATGTCCATGTTACTGCTCATGTCTATAGGCGACGGTTACCACTTTCCATCAGGTGGACCGTCAGCTTGTTTGCCATTCTATGTTGCAAAAAAATTTTCGCGAGCTAGCTACTTATACATATACTTTCTTTATTACAGGTTACTACTTCTCTATCCAGAAGAAGAATACACAGATGTCAAGTTTAATTTCTCAGATTCTTACCACTTTCCATAAATGAAAACAAATTCGTAGAATTCTGTTTTATTTCCGAACCACCTGCAGCGTCAATAGCCCATAAATTGAGGGGACGGGATTGTTAGCAATGGAATTTGACAGCCCCATTGCTAACAATATGCCCTATCAGGTCAACCTCCACGTGGTTCTCCCTGGAAACCATCGTGAACAATTCCCGTTGAATTCGTCACGATGGGCTAACTGACCTGCTTCATCCTCACCTATCATCCTTCACTGGTGCCTCCGCCGGTGTATACCGATAGCGCGGGTGGGGTTACAATATCATTATCAAATATAAAAAAAAATTGCCCAAAAATATCAATACAATTTTTACAACACAGGGGACAAACGGGCATGCGGCTCACTTGATGGTAAGTGACTACCGCCGCTCACGATCACCCACAACACCAACGGCATTGTAGGTGTGCCGAAGCCGCGACAGGCTGTTACTTGTCAATATACAAAACTAACCGTTTCCCGTGGATTCGCCCGCGTGAATCAATCCTCTGTTAAGTTAAAATGTAATGTACCTATGTACCAAATCTCATTCAAATATATGTAAGTAACAAATATCCATCCATAGGGGAAGAAAAAATTGTTAGTAATGCGATCTGATAGCGTTATGGGGGGGAGGGATTGTTAATAATAAGATTTAACAACCCCATTGCTAGCAATACACCCTATCAGGTCGAACTCCACGCGGTTCTCCCTGGAAACCATAGTGGTTAATTCTTGTTCAATTGATCACTATGGGCCAACTGACCTGCCCGTTGCCTGGCACATAGAGATGGCATTATAAGAACAAGAATTCTATTATCCTGGTTTTGTCACATTTGTAATAGTTTTTTTTTTTTCACGGGACATAATTTTTAATTATCCGCATTGTTATCGACGAAAAATCTTGCACTTTTTAATTTCATATAAATCGGGCCTTTCTCTCGCGTTTTCGAGCTAAATTACTGCCGCGCTGGCCGGAAGGGGTGTTTTTTAATTATTTTCGAAACTAACAGCCCCTTTGCAACGTTAGACCCTGTAAATAGGTAATTTGAATTTGATTTAGTGGTGGCGAGATTGTGCAGAATTCGAGTTAGTTTTGTAGCTAGTGTCATGTTTACTAAACATTGCTATTATATTTAAATTTTATTTTAATCCTGCTAATATTTTAAATGCTTTTTTTTGGGCGTGAAAATGGAATGGTAACCGTTTGCCCCTGTTGGTATACCAGTAAAAGGTGATAAGTGAGGATAAATGTAGCTCAGTTGGCCCAACATAACGAATTCGACTAGAATTAAACATGACGGTTTTTAGGGGAACAGCGTGGAGGTCGACCTGATAGGGTATAATGCTAGCACTGACGCTATTTTTTTTAACGAGTCGAGATGGAATGGTAACCCTGCTTGCGCTATTGGTATACGCTGGCGGGGTGAAGGGTGAAGGGTGACAGGTGAGAATGAAAAAAAAGGAAGGTCAGTTAGCCCATCGTGACGAATACACTTGGAATTCAGCACGATGGTTTCCAGGGGGGACCACGGGGAGGTCGCCCTGGTTGGATATATTGCTAGCAAATGGAGCTCTTAGTCACCATTACTAACAATACCTTCCCCCCACGCATTGGGGCTATCATGTGCGAAATTATACTCTGTTATATCCATGGTACTGCTTATGCCTATAGGCGACGGTTACCACTCTCCATCAGGTGGGCCGTCAGCTTGTTTGCCATTCTTAAATGTTACAGTTATACATTTGCTAACAAAAATCGACCAGGCGTTCCACTAATCTATTCCTAATTGTAAATCTGTCAATTCCGTGTTACAGTTGAGCAATTGATTTTTCTTTTTAAAGCATTCAATTGATTTTTAGCAAATAAATCATATACCATACCATATTCCGTAACTATTCACTATTCACTGCTGAACATAAGTCTCCCTCTTGGGGGTTTTTCCGTAACTAGGCTTATTAATAATATGGATTGGTAGTTAGGTCTTTTCTAATTGTATAATTGATAGTTAGTATACATTGACGCTTATCTGTGAGAGCTGTATACACCTTTAATTGATGTGTTCATATGGCCTAAAGCTTGGTAGTGAGGAGTGAGATTTTTTTGTTCAAACTTAGATGTAAGCATTTTTGAATAGTAGTTTTTCTCTTTTACTTACTAATAACATTGTATGTTGTCTGCTTAATTGTGAGCATATTGTTGGTGTGTCTTTTATAAATAAATATATAAATAAACTATTCATTATTCACTGCTGAACATAAGCCTCCCTCTTGGAGATTTTGCCAGTAGTAGCCACGCTTGGCGGGCAAGCTGACAACCGAAGTTAGACACTGGCGATGTTTTAAAATGGACGTTGCTGCCCATCCCTCCACCAGTAAGTTCCCTTAGTCGCCTCTTACGACGCCCATGAGAAAGGACGGCGTGGCCCATTGTATGCCGGAACCATATTAGTTTTTTTAATATTAGATTTTTACCGTGCTAATTTACATTTGTTATTCTTCTCTGATTTGAGGAAAGAAAATGTGCATTTTCTGAATGAGCTTCTTTTTTAAATATATCCGTAAGAAGAATTAAAATATTTCATATTACCCGAAGGTAAAAAACATATCTAAAACAAGGATAATGTATTTGTTTCAAGGATATCCGGTTGCCGCGTGTAATCAATATATTAGAGTACTGAAGGTGTACTTCAAAGGAGACCCGACCTATTTACTTTAAAAAGGGCCAGAATCTTAATAATAGACGCCGGATAACCGGCCCTCCTGGCTCACAATGAGGAAAAAGCAATAGAATTCAATTGTGACGAACGTAATACGCTGGACACAGGAGAAAATGTGCACAAAATCGTTGATGACCAAGCCAACTGTTTGTTGTAGGGGAAATTTATTATACTACCTTGGTAATTTCATTGTTAGATTGTTTATTTTTTTAATGGGCGATAATGGAATGATTACCCCTCCTACGCTGACGGTATATGCTAGCAGGGCACCAGTAAGGAATAGTAGAAAGGCAGGTCAGTTAGCCTATCGTGGTAAATACATCTGGAATTCGACATGATGTTTTCCAGGGGGGAATACGACCACCACCATCACCTTACTAGGTATATTGTTAGCAATGGGACAGGTAGTCTGAATTACTAACAATCCCTTGCTCCCAATTATTTAATTGTTAATAAGAGAACGAAGTGACAAACTCAATGTGTTGGTAAAAATGGAAGAATATAGATAGCAGGGGATTTACGATCATTCTTTATGGCAAACTATGAGAGAAATGTTAAGAAATTAAACAAAATGAAAAAGACGTTGTATAAAAAAACTACATCAATTGTTTTTTTTTTTTTATACAACTTAGAATGGCAAACAAGCTGACGGCCCACCTGATGGAAAGTGGTAACCGTCGCCTATAGACATGAGCAGTACCATGGACATAACAGAGTATACTGTTTCGCCCATGATACCCCCATGCGTTGCCATTCCTGAGGACACAGCTGTTATTCCTCTGTACCCTGTAAATTCACGCCATATCCCACCCTTCAAACTGAAACACAGCCATGCAAACACAACTACTTCACGGTTGAAACACGAATGGGACAGAGGTACCCAAGCAATCGACTTTTGTACAAAGTCTCCCTCTGGTAAAACACAACATATATGTATATACTTCTCAAAAATGTATAAGCTTAAAGATTTTTTTAACACCAAACACTTACTTATCACTGAGAACTAAGTGGCCAATTTATCAAGCAAAGATATTTTTCGAAACAAAAAACAACCTTGAGTCTATTGCCATTGTTCTAATTTATTCCACGGATAAAAAAACCCCTTCATTTCTGCACGGAGAACATTAATCTATGTTAAATTCCATTCATTAGCTGTAAAGCCTTTACTGTCTTAGAACGCCTCTGTCTAAGGGCAGGGTAATACAATACTAAAACAATGTATGTCGCAAGTGAAAATGGAGGAACTTAGATGACATCTATGAAAGTGGAGTTAAATTGGGAATGTTTAGTATTCTAGAATAGTACAAATGGATACAAAGCTAGCACTTACTAGTGGCGTAATGTAGTTTTCCCCTCGTTGACTGTCTATTTGAGAACTAGATGTAATAGCGTTACATCATTTAGACGCGAAGCTTGTATTATATATAAACGTTATTGTCGTGAGCCCTTAGATGTAGGGGGGAAAGGGATTGTTAGTAATGGAGTTTGACCACCCCATTGCTAGCAATATGTCCTATCAGGTCAACCTCCACGTGGTTCCCCCTGGAAACCATTGTGAACAATTCTCGTTGAATTCGTCACGATGGGCTATTTGACCTGTTTCATCTTCATCTATCATCCTTCACTGGTGCTCCGCCAGTGTATACCGATAGCGCAGGCGGGGTTACCATTCCATTATCATACATTAAAAAAACCTTAGATATAGAATGTTTTGTATAGCTATTAAAAATGCAAGATTTTGAAGACTTTCTATCTCTCTATTTATGGTATAGTAGCTGCTATAAAAAGGCCGTTTTTAGGATTTTTTGAATTTGATGTATTTTGATAAATGTTAAAATTAGGATACTACTCTTACCCCCTTATTCATAAAAAACAAGATAAAGACAAACAAACAAGTGTTTTGTCTCTTTACGCTAAATTCTCAATTGGAAAGAAAGGAACAAAACTATTCAATAGCTAAAATAAGGTTTTAATTTTTATAAATAAAAATTCATAAAATCTTATTTATGTTATTACTAGCTGACTCGGCAAACGTTGTTTTACCATATACATTATTTCGAGAATTATACATGAAAATTTATCGTACTACAACTACTATATTGGATTGCCATCTTGCAACCTATAAACCTTACCTTATAAAAATCGCGATTAAAAAACAGGGGTTGATCGTAAAAGGGTGAAAATTTGTATAGTAAGTTGTATGTATTTTTCAATGCTAAATCATATTAAAATAAAAATAAAAAAATTTCTCAAAGAAATATAAAAAATAAATTTAGAGGTGGGTCCGATTCTCAGACCTACCC